CAGATCTGCTCAATAAGGCCATTTAAAGCTTCACGCATCTTCTTAGCCCTAGCTCGCGTGACTGGACCTCCTTGGCTGTGTAACGGATCACATGATGTAGTAGATATGTTGTTGTCTTGATTCCCATCATTCTGTTTCCCTTTCCCTTTTGAACAAGCATGCTTCACTTTTCTTGTTTTTGTGGACTGTGAATGGGTTCTAGTTAAAGGTGCAGATCACGAAGCTTGAAATTAGATGCAGTAGCATCCTGTGTACATAGAAATATTAACATTTTTATCACTTGATAAAAACGTATTTAAGTTGTTATTTACATCTTGCATAGTTGGGGTTGGAGTATTTTTCTTTGCTTTCTTTTTTGCCTTTTCATATAAACATGACCCAAAATGTTAGCATTATTTTTAGGGTAAAAAATAAATTAAAAAACTAGTTTTTAAATTCATTATTGGTGGATAAGTGCTTCTTCTAATTCTCTCTTTTTTTCTTTTAGTGGGAGTTGTGGCCTGTTGAATTGTTGGAGTTATGCTTACTATTTGACTCATTGGAGAATCATCTTGGGTCATGTTTACTGGTTCTTCTTTAGCAAGGCATGGCTGATTATCCGTGATAGGGGGTGGTCACTGGTTAGTGGAACGTGGTTGGCTGTCTTCAACAAGAGATGGTTGCTCCATAGATGGTTCATTCTTAGTTGGGGGCACCTAAGAAAAGGTAACCAAAGCACAGTTAATTTAGCATACCAATTGAAGGAAAAAAAAAAGAAAAAAGCAAAGCATACATCTTGAGATATTACATTTAGTGGTTGGCTTTTATATGATCTGGAATTGTGACCCTTTTGGAAGTATTTCTGGTAAGTTATTTGTCTTCCTTGTCTTTCCATTTTTGTCTTTCCTTCCCATTCTTCAAGTTTTCTTTTCTCTTGGGCCTGTTAGGAATCTTCCTTGGTGTAAGTGGTTGTATGGTTAGTTAGCATCCTTGTTGTTGTCCACCTATTCATGCCTTCAATAGCTAGTACCTTATACACATAAGAGGTCTTAATTGGTGATAACTTGTACTAGTTTAATACATAATCTTTAACTCAGCTTTTTTTTTACAATTAATACTGTCATGGCATATTTACAAGGAATCCTACATAGATCCCAATAATGTGCATTCCCTATTTTCCAAGTTTACAATATAAGTTTTCTCCTAGAATCCACTTTATTTTTCATATGATCTTCAACTTTAAAACCACCTCCACCAAACTATAGGACTTTCCATTTCTTACAACCTTTTTCATTCCATACAATCTTAGTCAAGATTTTTGGGTCAAATTCCTTCCTTTTGTGTTTCTTTCTAAAGTTGGCATATTTGTGCCTAGCAATGTTAGTGTTCTGCATTTGGAAAAAGATCTACCACAGCATTTATCAACCCTTGCATTTAACTAATACATATAGTGTCAACAGTAACCAAAAAAAAAAAAAAAACTACATGAGATATAAGATTAGGGACCAAAAAAGTGCACATGTTTAAGTTTTAGGAACCAAAAAAGTACAGGTCTAAACTTTTTGCTACAACATTACTTGCATGATATTATAACTGAAACTTAAAAAGTGCATTGAATTGTATAAGTGAAAAGTAACGTATATTATAACTTTTGTTGGTTTGATATTATAGTAGAACCATCACCATCTCCTATTTGAAAATCATATTTAAGTTCTCTCAAAAACCATGTCAAACTTTCTCCCTTTTCAACTTTCACCATACCTCATGCAATTGAATACATTTGGTCATTTGCATCTCTACCAACAATAGTATGTAATTCCCTTATGTGTGGATCTTTAAGAAAAGCTCCATCTAAACCAATGACTTTCCTGCATCTAGCAATAAATCCCTTTTTCATTGGACTGAAACATACAAACATCCTTAAGAAAACAAGATTGAGTTTAATTGTTGGCCTCAATGCATAAATCGAAGTAATGGCTTTTGGATCTCTTTTCTCAGTTTTACAGCATAGTCAAAAGGCTTTCTATATTCCAATGCACAATCCCTTTCAAAAGTTTTTCGGAGCCTCCTTTTCACAATCCTACACCCAACATGAGTCAACTCCACATTTAAATCATCCCAAAATTTTGTCAAAATATCTCCACTTTTCAAATAAATGGCAATAAAACCATTCATTTGACAAATGGTTTAATGCAATTGTTAAAGTACATCTCCTATTGGTCGATCCCCAGTCACACACTATTAAATGCCTTCACCATCCATGTCTCTGTTGGCTTATCCCATGCTAACAAAATCTTTCAATCACAATGCCTTTCTTCCTTCTCCTTTCAAATAGCCTGGTATCTCATCTTATCAATTTTCACCCACCTAATTGGTCTCTTCTAAACAGTGCTCAATTTATCAACAACTTGTTTGAACTAAGCTTTGTTGAGGAATATTATGCCTAGCTCAATATGTGGCAAGCCATCATCTATTGGTTTGAAAACTTTATGCTTGGTGTTCACTTGTTGAAAGGTAGTTGATATCATCATCTGAGCCTCATGAATCATTATTAGCAACATCATTGTGACCAACTAAAAGTGAGGGAATTTCATGACTAGTTCCTACAAGCAAAGCATATATGTTATTATGTATTCCATTAAGTTTATAAATGAACCAAGAAAAAGAAAAGTTTGTGAAATACTTGTTGCTGGTTGATTGGACCCATACTTGACACATTTTCTAGCATTTTTTCATTTACAAGTTGCCTCATGCAAAGACTTTGATGTAAATCTAGGTTTGACTTTAAAGGATTCAATTCAAGTTCTCGTTGGACCAGTTACGAGATGATGGAAATCAAGACGACAGCATATCTACTATGTCATGTGATCCATTACACACCCAAGGAGGTCCAGTCACGCGAGCTAGAGCTAAGAAGATGCGTGAAGCTTTAAATGGCCTTATTGAGCAGATCTGGGTTGAAAACAACATACAACAAGATGATTATCAAGGCATGGTAAACATCATTCAGGTTCAAGAGAAGCTTAGTTGAGGTCATTTGCACAGAATTACACAGTTTACGCCAAAATCGCACAGTTCTGCCACAATTTGTAGCAAACTGATATTTCATGTTATTTTAGGTTATTTTTAGTGATTTTCACGTTTTTTGTATTATTTTTGGACTGAACATTTGCTTATTTGAAGCCCAATTCGTGGTTATTAGGTTTAGGACTTAGGGTGTTAATTTCCTATTCTGATTAGGATTTGTTTTCTCTATTTAAA